GTGCCGCCGGCAGAGCCGGGCAGAGGAGTGCCGTCGTGGAGGGCGGTTACCGCATCCGCCCCGGGAGGCTGACACAGGTACACGAAATTCACCGAGCAGACAAAACCTGCCGCTGTCTTTCCAAAATTATTGCGGCTTAATGCGGTTTTTGCTTAATGCGTCCGTGGATGACGGTGCCTTTAACTAGATCCACTTAACTGTGTTGAAATGTTGTTATTCTTAGGCTGATGTTGGGTTTATCCCCTTATGTCATAATTACTAAATGCGTGGGGTAATGACACGTAGTATTTCGAAAAGGTTGCTTGATTGCAGGTAAAAATCTGCTCACAGCACTAAATGCAACGTGAATTACTTTAAAATGTATCATATGTGCTCAATTAGGCAGTACTGCTCAGCACAAGACGACCAAAGCTGCGTTCGTTGCGTGAACTAATAATGGAATTGCTGAAATTTACACTGAAACAGGGACATTTTGTTTGCATCAAATGACGGTATCAAAGGTCTTGATCCTGCAAGTTTCTTTTGAGCACTCTGCTCAATGATTTCAGCATAGCCATTGGTGTGAACTTAAGTACTGTATTACTTCATTTTGTGTTTGTGCAATCTTCACGTTTTACTACAATGCAACAGTGAAAAAAAACCCAAGTATTAACCACGAAAATGTAAAATGAGCAATAAAAAGTGATGCATATTCCGAAAAGGAAAAGAAAAAAAAAAAAAACAGGGAGCAGTTTACCCTATTATATGTAACCATATGTATTGTATGTTAGCCCTTCTGTCCAATGGGAAGGAGTCTTCCTACAGACCCATAAATGAGTGACACGGCTAACCCACAAAGCTTCACTAGCATGTCCTGTGGAAACATTTATGATGGTACCAGCACCACAGACTAATACGAACAGGAGAAACAGACAGGAACTTTCCTGCCCATGAGTAGGAACTTGGCAGACTGGAAATAACAAGTTGTTTTTACAACAGTGAAAATTAGTACAGTGGAATTTTAGCACAGTTAATGGCCAGGCATTGATTTTTGGTTTGCTTAGAGTATACCTTGCTTAACAGAGTTTAAAGATCCGTGCTGCATTATGCCAGAAGTCTCAGGGAATGGGGCTGGCTTAAGAGGCCCAGGCAGGTCCCTCCATGGTTCTTCTGAGGTATAATAGGAACAGATAAAGGCTTTTTGTACTGCTGTCTTTCCCATGGCCAGCTTATTCTAAGAAAAGCACATGGCCTAAATATTCTTGTGCCATCCTGATTTCTGCCTGGTTTAAGATTCTTGGGGCTGTTTGCAACCTTTGTGAGTTAGAACAACCTCAGCGTTTGCTAAATTTAGCATGAGGTAAGTTCTGGCCCTATACCAAAGTAACCCGCGATCGTGACAGCTTCAAGTTCCTCCTCTGAGATCTGAACTAACCTTTTCTTCTTCTTCGAATCAATACGAATAGTGAAAAGCAGAGTGGAGAGTAAGGGGTTTGGGGTGTGGTTTGGTTTGGGTTTGATTTTTTTTTTTTAATTAAAACTTAATTGGGTTGAAAGTTTATGAGGCAGATAAAGTTCCAACCAGATTTAGAAAGGAGTTACCAAAAATCGCATGGTAGAAGCAGCCAGAAACAGTACCATTAATAGCATCCTCATATGAAAAGGCCCTGAAGTCTTTTTTGGATGTGAGTATCCACTGCTTTAAACAAGTTAACTCTACACACCAAGCTGTGATGACTTTAAACTTGCAACTGTTCCCTTTTAATAATAGTCTGGCTTGTAAAATCGGTTTCTACAGCTCCGCCAGGAAGGCAATCAGAGGGAGTTATGAAGTAACATATTCATGCTTTGTTTTGTAGGCACGAAGGAGACCGCATTCATATACGCAGTGACATCGGCGGGCCTCGTGCATTCGGTGACACGATCGTGCAGCGCAGGAAACATGACCGAGTGCTCCTGTGACACGAACCTGCGGCACGGCGGCTCGGCCAGCGAGGGCTGGCACTGGGGCGGCTGCTCCGACGAT